ACTTCAGGTATGGGGGCTTTTTTTAAAAAAAAAAAAAAAAGATTTATTTTTATTTGAAAGGCAAATTTACTGAGAGAAATAGACAAAGAGGGAGATTTCCTACTCACTGGTTCACTCCCCAAAGGGCTGCAATGGCTGGAACAGAGCTGATCTGAAACCAGGAGCAAAGAGCTTGCTTTGGGTCTCCCAAGTCAGTATAGAATCCTAAGGACTGGGGACATCTTTCACTGCTTTCCTAGGCACATTATTGGAGAACTGGATCAGAAGCGGAGCAGCCAGAACTCGAACTGGCACCCATAAGGGATGCTGGCACTGCAGGCAGAGGCTTAGCTTACTATTGTATTTGTAGTATACAATGGAATGTTTTGATATAGCAATAGATTACAAAACGTATTCCTGATAGTAGATGCAACATTCAGCTAAGAATTTAAATCCTTAGGTGACAAAATGAATTTATCAGGGAGGAAAGTTGGGATAGCAGGTAGGGTACCCGAGTGTCTATGTTTGAGTCCTGTTCTAGCCTTTAGCTGATACAGGATCCGTGAGGCCATGATGATGGCTTACTCACATGAAACACCTGGATTGAGTTCCTCACTCCAATTCACCCTTGCCCAACTCTGACCACTGTAGGAATCTGTAAAGTGAATCAACAGGCAGGGACACTCTTTGTTGGCCTTTCTTTGTCCACCCTCCCCCTCACTATCTTCAAATAAACACAATAAATAAAAATTTAGAAGTGAATTGTAGAAGGATTAAAGGCCACAGCTAATACAATCATTAACTGTCATTAATGTATTGCCACAAGCCCAGGTAAGATCTATTTCTGTTTATGATACCTAGAACTCATGGCCTCTGTATCAGCAGGATAAAGGAATAAAAGAATCACATTGTCTCCTAAATGCATTGGCCTAAAGGTGATATTACCGTCATCCAACGTCGGTTAGCCAGAGGAGGTCACACAGCTCTAAAGGAACTTCAACAGAGTTTGTGAAAAGTAAAGGTACACATGGCATGCTTGGCACGAGTCATCTTTGTCACAGTACCTTTTATGGCTTGGAGAATAATTTAGATGTTAAGAACTTGATCCCCTGCATTTTATGTGAATGAATTAAGGACGGAGCATAACACAACCATGGCATCTTTAGGTGAGTTTTTTTTTTTTTTTTTTTGGTTAAGATTTATTTACTTTTTTTATTGGGAAGGCAGATATATAGAGAGAAGGAGAGACAGAGAGGAAGATCTTCCAGCCCATGGTTCACTCCCCAAGCGACAGCAGTGGCCGGAGCTGAGCCAATCCGAAGCCAGGAGCCAGGAGCTTCTTCCAGGTCTCCCATGCTGGTACAGAGTCCCAAGACTTTGGACCATCCTCTACTGCTTTCCCAGGCCACAAGTAGGGAGTTGGATGGAAGTAGGGCTGCCAGAATTAGAGCCAGCACCCATCTGGGATCCTGGTGCGTGCAAGGCAAGGCCTTTAGTGACTAGGCCACCGAGCTGGGCCCTAGGTGAGTTTTGAAAATTGGTAGGATTACATTAGCAGGGCAAAGCCTCTTTGAATTATGATGCCTTAATAAGGAAAGAATGCATAGAAGGAAGATAAGTGTGTTTCCTGTTCCCCCACTTTCTGTCTGGTCACATGGTCCCTTCTCAGCACTGTCCTATCATCTACTGCCTTCCTCGGACACCAGATGAGGGGCCACCCAATCTTGGACCTACCTTCAACACGGTGAGCCACAATGAGTGTCCTTCCTTCCTCAGCAGCTTTTTAAAAGCATCTGTTATACTAATGAAATATACTAACTGTGCTTATTGTGTCTATATTGTTAAAAATTAATGATTAGATAATATGCTTGACAGAATTAGAAATTTAAGGTATCACAGCAAGGTAGAAAGTTATACCCTCTCAACAAGATAAAAAATACATTCAAGAAAACTAAATATAAAGTCCTATACACTGGTTGGATTAAAAATGAACTGTTCTTGTACAAGGTGGAAAATAGCTTGCTCAACATATTTCAAATAAAATGAAATCACACACAACAAATAGTTTTAGCCAACCATATGCTTAGTATGAATCATCAGGACCTGCAAAAGAAATCTAAAACAACATAGTAGCATTCAAGGGTGGACAGGGTTTAGAATAAAACAGAGAACCTTCCCTAGCTAAACCACAATATCCACCCTTCACACATTTTTTTAAGCCAGTGGTAATGTCCTTCCTAGATATTGAATGTCGCCGTTTACGAAGTAACATACATATGAGATACTTCTGCTCCTAACTAACTTCAGAGCAAGAGCAGTTCTCCAGGTGAACTATTGTACCCATCTACCTTCTCTTGTCTGGTGTCCCGTGTAATCCTAGGCAGTTTTGATGTGTAGCTGATTAGAGAGAAGAGGGAACAGTGTTAGTGTTGGAGGAGTACCGTGATGACGGCCCCTGTGGTCAAGCTTTGCCCTTGGATTGCTTTGTCCTTTGAGTTAAGAAAGCTGGGAAAGAAAATCCAACTTCGGCTGAATTGATTCTCAGAATTAGATTCCAGTGTAAAACAGTGGAAGGCTAGTACCTGGCTCACAGATAGCCTATAACATGGGAAACACACACACAAATCAAACCCTGCCCTGATAACATACTCTCCACTATACATAAAAAAATTTCCAAGCGCTATATCATGGCTAAATTTTTTTTGTTCTGTCTCTGTCTAACCTCATCCTATGTATTTATTCTAGCCTTTATTTTTTAAGGGCAGAAACTCTTTGTATGCTGTTGCATAGGTGGTGTTGAGAATATTGGCTTATTCCTCACTCACTATTAATTAAATGAATGAAATCATACCTAATTTCCAAAAATGTTTACTGAATGACTCCATTTAGAGGAAACTCTCATCCATAAATTTTTACAAATAACTATTTTTTAGAAATTTTATCCTTGGGCTTGGTGCGATAGCCTAGTGGTTAAAGTCCTTGCCTTGCACACACCAGGATCCCATATGGGCACCGGTTCTAATCCTAGTGGCCCTGCTTTCCATCCAGCTCCCTGCTTGTGGCCTGGGAAAGCAGTAGAGGATGGACCAAAGCCTTGGGACTCTGTACCCGTGTGGGAGAACCAGAAGAGCTCCTGGATCCTGGCTTCGGATTGGCTCAGCTCCAGCCGTTGTGCTCACTTGGGGAGTGAACCATGGGCTGGAAGATCTTCCTTTCTGTCTCTCCTCCTCTCTGTATATCTGCCTTTCCAATAAAAATACATGAATCTTAAAAAAAATCTCATCCTTACCTCCCCATCATTCCCTTGTATGAAAATCATGAATTTGATTACTAAGAAGATAGCTGGAGAAGACAAAGGATAACATGTGTGGTTCCAACTCCTTGGGAGAACTGACTGTGAGAATGGAATTGTCCAAGCTGGACTAGGCCCAACATACCACAGTAAAAGTACATTTGAGAAATGAATTTTGGCAGCTGACAAAATATTCTCCTGATGTGGATATGACCTTGTATTTATTTTTCTTTTTAAAGGCTGGCTCTTTCTGGCAGGGACAAGTGATGATACTGTAAAATAAGCCAGAATTTTTCAGTGACAGTGGCAGTACCAGGAAAGTTGTGGGTTTATGTTAATGCATCCATTTCTCAGTATCCATTATGACAGAAGTGATGGACCAAATGTGCTCTTACTCTGCCAATGTTTGGCCTCTTCATTTGGAGACTCTCCCATGGTTATAGCTGACTGGATTCCAAGATGCTTTGCCACCTGGATTAGTTATCTATTGTCAAAGAAAAAAAAAACATTATCCAACCCTTTCTTCTCTCTCTTTTTTTATTCCTCCATTTAACTGTCCCAAATGTCAGCAAATAAGTCAAATGGTGGTTGTTTTTCCACCAGAGCAGACTTTGAAAAAGTCAGTACAGTCCATCATAGTGTGTCTCCACCAGTTCATCATGACATTCTGGGCCAACATACAGACATCTTTCCCATGTCAGGCTGTCCTAGAGTGATTTATCCCTGTCTGTTCATTTCTGACAAGATAAATGGAGCACAGGAATGCAAACAGCAGCATGAATGAGAGCAAGGGGCTGGGTGTAGTCTGGGTCTGGGTGGATGCTGAGAGTGGAAGGTGCAGATGATGCTCAAGTTAAGATGCTGAGATGTGCTAAGAGGGCTTCTTGCTTGAATAGCCCAATATGCAAGCAAATTCATAAAAATAGAAAATAATTTAAACTGTGGAGGCTCTCTTGCTGATGAACTCATGACTGACTATACTGTGAAGTCAATATAGTATATGCAACGGTTCCTGGTGGGATTTGGAAGGAACCACCTGGAAATGCCTCCCCATCAGTGTGGTCTGGTGCCTACAAGTTTTCATTTTATATCCATTCTTCAGATCAAAGCTCTAGTTCTCAAGTGGCCTGTGAAAATGCTGGCATTTCCATTATAAGAAGAGAAAATTCAATTGACAGGGATGGTATGGGTTACTCAGGCTGTCAGTTAGGAATGCAAGAGATCTGCAATGGACAGAACATTTATGAGGGAACATTAAAAAGTGCATGGAGGGCTTGGCACGGTAACCTAGCAGCTAAAGCCCGCCCTGCTCACACTGGGATTCAATATGGATGCCAATGCTAATCCCAGCGGCTAATCCCACTTCACATCCAGCTTCCTGCTTGTGGCCTGAGAAAGCAGTCAAGGAAGGACCAAAAGTTTGGGATCCCGCACCTGTGTGAGAGACCCGGAAGAGGTTCCAGGCTCCTGGCTTTGGATCGGCACAGCTTCAGCTGCTGTGGCCACTTGGGGAGTGAATCAGCAGATGGAAGATCTTTCTCTCTGTCTCTCCTCCTCTGTGTATCTGACATTCAATTAAAAAAAGTATATGGAGAATTGGAATGAAAGAGAAGCATATATTGGCAAAAAAAAAAAAATCCATGCAATTTATTCAAAACCATACATTTTCCATACTGTTTTTTAAAGATCTGTGGTTTTCACATCCTAACCTTGGAGGTAGTGGTGTTAGAAGGTGAAATAATTCCATTGTCATCAGTTCTCTCCTAATGGAGAGCTCTAAGAAAGCAAAAGCAGCAACAAAGGACACTAGTTTAGAGGCTCCAGCAGATTAGTCAACATGAATACATGTGAGCTGCAAAGAAGCTGTGTTTTCATTTCTTCTCTCCTTAACTCTCACAGGAAAATCTCTGATGTGGGCCGAGTCCAAGAGAAAGTATGAAAGGCAAGGGAATTCTGAGACACCCAGTTCAGCTTCATCAAGTTAACTCATCACAATGCCCTCCGCATCAGGTCAGCAGATTCCATGACCTATACTTATCATCAAGCCACTGTACTTGGTTAGATCATTCCAGTGACCTGTGACCTTTCCATGACACCACAGTGCCCTTCTCCAAATGCCCAATTAAATCAGTTTCAACTTAAAATTTATTTTTATTTTTTGTTTGAAAGGTAAACATATAGAGATATCTGTGTAAGACAGAGAGGAAGCAAGATAGACAAAGAGAATCTTCTATTGATTGATTTATTATTCCAGATGTCTATTACACCAGAGTTGGGACAGGCTGAAGTAGGAGCCTGGAATGGTTTCCCATTTGTGTGGCACATACCCAACTGCTTGAGCCATCGCTTCCTGCCTCCTAAGCTACACAATAGGAAACTGGATTGAAAGTGAAGCTGCAATCAAACCCAGATATTCTGATATAAAATGTAGGCTTCCCAAGGAAGCCTATTCATACTTATTAATACTTATTGTGTCTATTCATATTTATTAACTTTATTTACATTTAAAGGTTTATTCATTTGTACTAAGTCAGAATTATAGAGAGAAAGGGAAACAGGGAGAGATTTCCCACCCACTGGTTTATTCTCCAAATGGCTGTAACTGCCACAATTGGGCCAGGCAGAACCCAGAAGCCGGAGGTTTTACCTGAGTCTCCCACATGGCTGTGGGTGCCCAATTACTTGGGTTGTCCTCTGCATTTACAGGCATTTTAATAGAAAGTTGGATCAAAAGCAAAGCAATTAGGACTCGAATTGATGTCCAAATAGGATGCCAGCATTGTAGGCAATGGTTTAACCAACTGTACCACAGTGGTGGCCTGTATTTGATCACTTTTAGGCCCACGAAAGGCATTCTTCCTAGTTCAACCCATTTTAAGTACTGACACTATGAGTTTAGCACATGACTGATTATTGTCCTGGGGTTGACATAAAATAGGTCAGGAAGCTGAGAAATACCCCCAACAGATAAGATACCAGCTGCCAAGGGAAAGGACAGCTTGTTTTGTGCATGCACAATGAGGGGAAGGAGTTTGTTTCTCATGCACTCAAATCCTCCAATATTGATTTCTTAGCTAGCAGCCAGCAGGCACAAAATTACACTGTTTCTGTACCACACAAAGGTGCCAACCTTATTCTCTCATCAGTCTTGGAGATGGGCCAGCTGTGAGAAAAGAAAACCATTCCCCTAAACCTAGGATCTGAATGAGTCACTTTTCATAATCTGAACAAAGACATTCAGTGTGTAGCCATGTCTCTTGAACTGTCTATCATTGCCAATGACATAAAGAATACATATTAGGTCTTTTCTCCTAGATACCAGCCCAGAGCTCCTGGCACGCTCATAATGTTCTGGCAGGTAGGGGCATCTTTTGTTAAAATATTTGATCTTGGTCTCCATTTCTTGACATAAGAACTTCTAAGATATTGAAGTCTCAAGGTGATGTCTGGTGGATGGGGCCTCTAGTCAGCTTCAGATGAGGACTGGTTACCAGGAAGACTGCACCTTGCTCAGCAAAGTTAATACTTTCAATCCCCTCTTCCATATGCCCTGCAAGGCAAGATGGGTTGGAGTTTGTGCCAATCATTAGTGGTTGAAGATGTAGTTAATTACTTTGAACCAAATAAATATTTGTGAAAACCCAACCACAGATTTCCCTGAACCTCTGGGTTGGTGTACATGCCTATGGGAGGCTGGTACAGCCTATGTCCATGAGGGCACATACTTCTAAATTTGAAATCGCTCTGGATTTCAACCTGTGTATGTTTTCACCTGCCTATGCTTTGTATCCTTCTTGATATTCTTTATAGTAGACGGGTGAGAGCAAATCAAATGTTTGCCTGAGTCCTTAGAGCAAATCACAGAATATGAGGAGGGGATGATGAGACTCCCTGCTTTGCAGATAAGTGGGTAACAGTTGTGCTTCACCTGGGGACCCATGAATTGTTGCTGGTACCAAAAGTTGGAGTAGTGTGACAGGGCCTTTGATGGGGGTCTGCGCTAACTCTGGACTCTTTGAGTCCAGAACTGAATGTAGGACTCCCACCTAGTATTGCAGAGAACTGGAGAATTTTTGGCATAGAAAATCCACCCACACACTTGATGCCAACAGTGTTGTGGATTGAGGAATAGTTTTTATTTTTCTCATCTTACAGAGTTGCTTCTGCTGCTTTTTGGAGGGAGAAAGCTAAGTTAGGATGCCTGCATAGTTTGCCTGGACAGAACATATTGGCCTCAAACTATCCCAATTTCTGCTTTCTGTCGAGCTGGGGTTACCTTTATATGAGAAAAGTAACAAGGGACTACAGAAAGACCCTGGAAAATACAATGAGAAAAGAAAAGCTCTGGCAAAAATATTTTTTAGACTCTGTAGTTTTATCATAATATAGTTTCTTTCATGAATTCTTTGAAGATGCCACAGGGGAGACTGGTAAAAAAAATCACATAATTTCACATTGGTGTCGAAGTGTTAGGCTGATGCTCTGTCATTATGGCACTGGGAAGCTTCTGCTTTCCTTGTTGGGAGTCAGCAAGACATTTAAATAAGAAAATTGAGCTCAGCCCAGCATAATGTCTCACTTGGTTGGTCCTGTCCCTGCAAACACCAGCAACCCACATGTATATTGGTTCATGTCCCAGCTGTTCCACTTCCCCTCCAGCTCCCTGCTTGTGACATAGGAAAGCAAAGGAGGATGACTCAAAGCCTTGGAACTCTGCACCCGTGTGGGAGACCCATAAGAGGCTCCTGGCTCCTGGCTTTTATTTGGCTCAGCGCCAACTGTTGTGGCGTCTTGGGGAGTGAATCAGAAGACAGAAGATCTTTCTGTCTCTCTTCTCTGTAAATCTGCCTTTCCAATAAAGATAAATAAATAAATCTTTTTAAAAAAACGGAAAATTAACCTCAGTGCAGAAAAGTTTAGAGTGTTTGTGTGTGTGAAGTTAATGCAGACATAGTTTGAAAGAACTAACTTCCACCAACTTAATGGAGGTTCATAATATCTGCACTGGGGAGCTTGTAATATCATGTGCATTGTCATCACGCAGTTCCCCTCCCGTAGGGATTCCTAGGGCAGATCTGGTAAGACCCTCACACTACAGTTCTGATCTCAAGTGAGAAGTTCTCCTAAGAATAATGGCATTTACTTGGAATTAGCAGAGCATTACAAGGGGGATACACACACCATAACAACCTCCATTAGGTTTGAATTCTTCAGGTGCCTAAATAGAGCATGGAGCCAGCCATACTTGCACACTGGAAGGCTCCATCTTCAACAAAACTGTGCCTCTGGGAAGCTGATGTTCCCAGTGTGCCATCAAGTCCACATTGTTATTCCCTTTGAACACATCAGTCTTCATTTTAGGAGCTTGGAGCAAAGCACAGTGAAAATAGGAGGGAATGCCTATTGTACTGATGGTCCTTACCCATTGTACCGAGGGCTTTACAGGAATTAATCAACACATGTTTACTGAGACCCTACTGTCTGCTGGGAAATGTCTTGGGTCCTGAGAGTATAAAATAAGCTATCAATCCTTATCCTCATGAAACACATCCCAAAGGGAGCTAAAAACCATTTTTGGAGTGGAAGGTGTGATATGGAGATGATGATAAAATCTTTTTCTCAGGAACAGGTGCATGCTCAGCCTTTCACATATTAGCCTCAGTCTCTTCCCAGGATATTTGCACTGACTTCTCAGCATCACACATTCAGCAACTGGTGCCAACTGAAGGGATTTTGACATAAGGAATTTCCTGAAGGTCAAGGGGAGAAGAGGCTCCTTCAATCACCACACCTCACTAGACTGACTCTGCTCACCTCGGCTCCCTGTTGCTCTAAAAAAAAGTTTGCAGGAAGCCGGCCAGGGCTCTGTGTTGTTGCCCTGTTTTAATTTTAAATATCCATTAGGATACTTTTTTAAAACTATTCAATTTTTATTTGAAAGGCAAATTTTACAGAGACAGAAGCAGTAACACGCACACACATACACACATCTTCCATCCACTGATTCACTCCTCAATGGCCGCAATGCTGGAGCTGAGCCAATCCAATGCAAAGCCAGGAGCCTCCCATGTAGCTGCAGGGGCCTAAGCACTTGGGTCACCCTCCCTGCATTCCCAGGCTATAAGCAGAGAGTTGGATCAGAAGTAGAGCTGTTGGGACAGGAACTGGCACCCATATGGGATCCTGGTACCACAGGGCAGAGGATTAGCTTGTGCTACTTCACTGACCCCAATAATTTTGGTTTCAAAGCTGGATTGGGTGCAAAGTACTGAGTTCCTGTGGCACACACACACACTGTTGACATCTCACTAGAATGGATTTTCAACATCTAAAAATTTACCTGAGAATGGGGGTGGGGCAGGAGAGGGAGAAAAAGTGAGAACAACAAAGAGAAGAAGTTTGCTTTTGTGTTTTTATTCCAGATTTGGCTCACCTTGGTCTGCAAATTTACCTAAAACTCCCCCATTTAATGGTGAGCCTTGAATAAATTCTCATTTGCCACGACAGGCTGAGTCATATCGTCTGTTCACTCTTCAGTCTCTGTCTTTGAGACTGGTTGCCTTGCTGTGTGGCTGTGAGGAAGCCACATCTGGCCAGACACCCACACCTGCAGGTGGAGCTCCTTCTGAGATGCAGCTGGGTGGAAATGTGTCACTGCCAGCAAAAGGACAGGGCGGCCAGAAGGAGGGCAGCCAGGGGAGGGCAAGCTTTCTGAGTGGGAGGACTGAGAACTCGCCAGAGTTCAGGGTTGGCCAAGGGGAAGCTGGCTTTTTTTGACTGACAAGAGGGTGAGGTCACTGAGGAGCTTTCATTCCAGACCGCCAAGGGGTGAGGTTGCACCTGGGAGGAGGGCAAGCTCATGCCAAGTTTCTTTTACTTCTGACAGCTCCATGAGGGAAAAGGGGGAAGGGAGTCCTGTGCCAAATGTCCCTGATGGCAGGCAGTCCTGGGGTTTGCTCTGCTTCAGCAGAGCTGGTTCCGCCTTGGGAAGGCGTTGAGGGAGCAGCACCTCCGAGGTGGAACAGTGCTGCTTTGCTGGTCTGCTTGGGTCCCCAGGAACCCTGCTGGCTTTGCCTGTGTGATCCCTTTCTCCATCTAAAACAAATTCTGCTTCACAACCGTGTTAGTATAAAAGTGAGGCCGGATGGGTTCTTCTTAGTTGAAAAGCCATTAAAATGGTGGCTTGGGGTGCGTAATGGATTTGGGGCCCTGAGGTCACCAGGACAGGCTGGGACCTCCTCACTTTCAGAAAGGAGGATCATTGCCCTCATGCTTCCCATCTGAGGTGTTTTGCCAGGGACAGAGCTAAGCAACCAGCACAGACCCACACTGAATTCTTGTGTGAAGACAGAGGGCATGTCCGAGGCGGGTGGGACCAGGGAACCAGGTTCCAGGCCTTATAGGAGCCAGGAATCTGGTAGCTGTAGTTGAGTACCGCTGTCTCCCCTGGCAGGGGCAGACCTGTGGTGCTGACCCCTCCAAAATAGGAAAATGCTCGTTCATCGGCCAACATCTGCCACATAGCTTAAAAATTCACTGATGAAAGCAGATACATTTCTTCATGATCTTCTGAGCTGTGCTTGGCTTGTTTCCTGCATGTCCTGAGAGCCCCACCCAGGCTGGCCACACAGCACTAACTCCAGCAAAACAATCTGCGGAGCCACTCTGCTCGGCGGCTCCAGGCCCATCTCCCAGCTGACTCACTTGGAATGTAGGAGCCCATCTCCTCTGTAGACTCTAAATACCAGTCAATAGCAGCACAAGGGGAAGCAGTTCATTAATGAAATTTCCAAATAACAAAACATAAAGAGTTCCTGTCCCTGAACTTGGAAGTGAAAGATAAGGGTAGATTATGTGCCAAGGGAGCTGTGTGCATGGCCAAGGGGAGGCAAGGAGGGAAGGGGTAAGGTTCCCATGATTCTAGGAGAAGCACAAAGACCAGCAGGGAGTATGGAATGGGAATGCCATGGTAGGTTAAGGAAACGGATCCTCCCTTCTTCTGGAAGAAAACAGGGACAGAGATGGAAGGAGTCTCACTTGTCAAAGAAAATAAGCAGCCCCAGTGTGACACCAACCCTTGACCAGACCTCCCAGAGAAGTACTAGACCTCCAGAGCCACATCGCTGTCACAGCTGTGTCTCAGGTGGGTCTTTACAATCACTGTACTTTGTTCTATGCTCGCTTCCCTTCCATCCTCCTCCTTTCTTCCTCCATCCCTCTATCTTTCTCCTTCTCCATGCCATGCAGCCTTCCATCTTCATAGTAACTGGAGTAATATAGAATAGATTTCATTTTAATTGGTTCTGAAAATCCTTCTGCAATCTCAGATCCACCCTTACATATTATTTTCAGTGTTCAGGATTACAGCCATTGACACAGAGGAACTGGAGACAGGTAAAAATCATTTAAGTCTTGGGCCCGGCAGCGTGCCTAGCAGCTAAAGTCCTCGCCTTGAACGCGCCAGGATTCCATATGGCCGCTGGTTCTAATCCCAGCAGCGCCACTTCTCATTCAGCTCCCTGCTTGTGGCCTGGGAAAGTAGCCGAGGATGGCCCAAAGCTTTGGGATCCTGCACTTGTGTGGGATACCCGGAAGAAGTTTCTGGCTCCTGGCTTAGGAATGGCATAGCATCGGCTGTTGCACTCACTTGGGAAGTGAATCATCAGACGGAAGATCTTACCCCCTGTCTCTCCTCCTCTCTGCATATCTGACTTTGTAAAAAAATAAATAAATGTTAAAAAAAATCATTTAAGTCTTGAGAAGGAGCCTAAAATTGGTTAGGGGGTTAGTGTTGCGGTGTAGTGAGTAAAACCACACCCTGTGATGCTGGCATCCCAAATGGATGTTAGCTCAAGTCCTAACTGCTCCATTTCCAATCCAGCTTCCTGCCAATATGCCTGGGAAAGCAGCAGAAAATGGCTCAAGAACCTCTGTGGAAGACCCAAATGAAGATGCTGGCTCCTGACTTTAGCCTGGTGCAAGTCCTGGTGGTTGCAGCTCTTTGGGGAGTGAACCAGTGGATGGACGATCTCTCTATCTCTCCCTCTTGCTCATATAATTCTTTTAAATAAATAAAAATAAATATTTAAAAAGAAGATTATGAACAAGTCTCAGTTTTGAATTGCTGTCATGAGATTTCACATTTTCTCCTAAAAAGAAGTAGAAGAATTTCAGATTCATTTCTGGCTGATTAGTCTCTCTTTAAAGTTTTCCTTGTCATACTCCTTATTCCATTTCCATATATTAGAAACAACAAACAATAATCAACAATAGCAAACAACCAAACAAAAAAACCTTTTTGGGTTGAAATATCTATTTTTACAAGCTATTCTCATATCTGGCTATGAGATCATCAACACATGCATATTTATTTCTGGCTAGAAAGCATAAATATCTCAATTAATTAAGTTACCTGTCTACTATGATCAGCAGGAAAAAGTTTCTAGATAGGACTCCAAAGTCACTTGGCCTCTCTCATTGTAGACCATAAGGCTAGACTAGCAGATGTCTGACAGCACTTTGGTTATTTTCTCTATTATGCCAGAAGTGCAGCAGCTGCCCACTTTCCTACTTCTGATAAAACTTACAACCATTGGTAGAATTAACAACATTAGCAAAAATATGCTTGTCTATTTTAAATGTCATAGATTTCCACTGCAGAACGTAAACATAAAGAAAACATCACCCCTAATCATACTACTAAGAAATAAGCAGTTAACCTTATACTGAAAGGCCCTTAAGTGTTTTTTCTGTTTATATATTTTAGATAATATTTAAAATTTAAAATCTTCATTTTTGTTTTGAGAGAGGATTACCATTTGCTGTTCATTCCGCAAACACATGTAAGGTTAGACTCAGCTGGTTGATCTGAGGAGCCAGGAACTCCATCTGGGTTGCCTATGTGGATGCCAGGGACCCAACCACTTGGGCCATCAATGCATCAGCAGGAAGTTGGAATCAGGAGTGAAGAGTGGAGCATGACCTGAACTATGTGCTCCAAAATGGGACAGGAACATACGAATCAACATCTTAATCACCACCAGATTCATTTTTCATTCATATAGGTTTTTTTAAAGATGTATTTATTTTTATTACAAAGTCAGATATATACAGAGGAGAGACAGAAATATCTTCCGTTTGATGATTCACTCCCCAAGTGACCACAACGACAAGTACTGTGTTGATCGAAAGCCAGAAGCCCAGATTCTCTTTTGTGTCTCCCAAGTGGGTGCAGGCTTTGGGCCAACCTCGACTGCTTTTCCAGGCCACAAGCAGGGAGTTGGATAGGAAGCGGGGCTGCTGGGATTAGAACTGGTGCCCATTTGGGATCCTGGTGCGTTCAAGGCGAGGACCTAGGCCATGGTGCTGGGCCCTAGGTTTTTAATTTTTTTTTAAGTAAAGAAGTAACATTCTAATATTCTAATAAGATTTGACTTTTTTATGCTAAAAATTGATAACATATATTTTCCCTATACAGTTAAGTATTCACAGACAGCATGATATTTAATGGCTACCACAGTGTTTGGTTATGTAGACATATCGTAATTTATTTTAAAATTCCCTGTTGTGAACTACGGTTATGCTGTTATTTCTTACTGATACGGATAACACAAACACAGACAGGCTATGCATAGATTTTTGCAAGGATCTTAATTACTTCCTAAAGGCAAATTCCCAGAAATGGAATGCTGGCTGATAGGGCTTAGACATGTTCAAGTCTTGTGTTACACTTCCGCCAAACTGGCTTGCAGAAAGGATGTCACAATGTATCTGCCTTAAATAATTTGAGAGTGATTGTTCCTCTATGACCTCACCAAAGTCAATCTGACAACTGAAAAACTGGAATCTCATTTGCATTGGAATTACTTTTTCACAAGTGTTATTGACTATTTGCAGACCAAGTGCCTAGTGAATGGTCCCCTCATGCCATCTATTCAGTTTCCTGTTCTGCTGGTCATCTTTCACTTACTGATTTGTCTGTAAGCTGACAGCTTCCACCCTCAGATCATTTTCAAAAAATTTGCTGGTGTGCTTTTATTTGCGTCCTTTTTGTTGCCTTCTCTAAGGAGCTCATGGAAAGTGAATGCCTGTTGAAGATTGGATAAATTACTTCGCTCTCAAGTTTGTGTTCTTAATATACTCATGTAATTGCTCTGTTGAAATTTTGCAGTGACCCTTTCCTCACCTTCCTGAAGAAAACAAAACACAGAGTAGACCAGTTCAAATGCTGCTCACATTCCACGTCCGTCCAAGTACTTGGATCCCTTTCCAAATGCCAGGTCAGACCAAAGCCAGGAGTCTGGAGCTCTATCTGGGTCTCCCAGCTGGGTGGTGGGGCTCTAAGCACTTAAGCCATTATCAATTCCCTCCCAAGGTGCTGGAACAGTTTGCTGAAAGGGAAGGAGACCAGCCAGGATTCAATCCCAGGCTCTTTGCTATGGGGTGTAGTCACCTGAAGCTGTGAGTTCACCCACTGCACCACAATGCCAGCCCCTCATATAACAGGATGCATCTTTTAAAAAATATTTTAGTATGAAGAGAGCAGATTTTATGCATTCCATAGGCATAGATCCAAGAAAAGCACCACACTTCTCTCACTTCCCTGCTCCCCCCTAGCGTTCCTCTATTTCTCCTTTTCCCCTTCATCCGTTTTTACAAAGACGTAGTCCACTCTGCATTCACAAGCTCATTTGCCACTAATCACAATCAAGAAAACATCTATTGTACCTTAAGAAGGAGTGCACTTTCCATCTTAAGACTATTGTAGGAAAAATGACTAACGGCCCATTGTTTGCCTCTCCCGGCCTCCAGATCACATCCTGTGTGGGAATCAGTGGGGAGAGGCACCAAGCTTCCTTCAGAAGGCAGCCTGTCAGCCTTGACCTGACGTTCTCTGATTTACAGTGAGGTCTTCTTTGGTTTTCAATGTGATTGACAGTTACATGGAAATCTGCATGGCTTAAACTCTGCTCAACACACGCACACTCTAAGAAAAGTATAAAAACTATAATCAAACTCAGGCTGGAGGAACAAACAGCTCAGACAACTGGTTGTTTTCACGTTTTAAATCCTCAGTTTGATTTGTTGAATACATCTCAACTTAAATATTCTAACTAGATTCTGATTTAGTTAACACCAGTCTTTTATTGTAAAAATGTATGATGTTTTCAAAAATTCTGATTTTTTTTTTGATGCTTAAATTGGTTGCATTTTCCACTTTTATTAAGAATAGGTGATGGATCCTCTCTGGCTAGATTTTTTTCCAGGGATGCAGAGATCTGAATCTGTTCTCTCCCAAAGCATTAAAGAGGAATGGGGGCACCTTGAGCGATGGTGGGAAACAGTGTAATCCTCCCTAGGCCAACTCCAGAACAGACACACCAAATTAATGAGTCTAGAGTGCCACTCCAAGTCCAGCTGTCCAATCTGAAGCAAAGCTCAGCTACCACCGTTTTTTAGGGAGCTACAGTACAGGGACTGCAAAAATGAAGTAAAATCCAGGAAGGAAAGGAGAAAAGTGAAAACTCATTACTAAGTTGTCCTTAATTTCAGGATAAAGCACAGCTTGGTAGTGTGGGACATCCTTGGGACGGGGCGGGGTGGAGTAGGGTAACCCACCAAGCTGCTGACCCTGCGGATGATTCACTGAAGGGTGGCGAGTAGACATGGAATTTATTTGCAGATGTCTTGGATCTCTTTCCTTTATTTAGTCCAAGTTCACCCCAGGGGCATGGACTGCTCCTTGGTTCCAGGTTGTATAACTTTTATGTCCTGGGATGGTCACTGTGGGCTCATGCCTGCTCTGACTAAACATGAGGGAGAAGTCAGGAGGTCCCCTGGAATATTCAGGGTGT